CTGCTGCTGCTGCTGCTGGGCTCCTGGCTGTCGGCGCGGTACCAGCACTCGTGTCTGCGGAAGAGGCTGAAGGGCTCGTCGCAGCAAATCTTCTCGCCAGTTGCTGCAGTGTGGAACTCGAGGTAGACGAAGAGCAGCGCCTTCTGCAGCAAACTGACCAGCGCGTTTGGCGGCAGCTTTTCCTGGTGAGAAATCCAAAAAGGGTTTTTCTGAATTGCTGCTTCCCACTGAAACGCGAAGGCCGAGTGCACGTACCCGTTCTCCAGCAGGTAGCGGTGCAGCAGCAGGTTCACCTCGTCCGACGACAGGTGCACCCGCATCTTCCGCCGCTGCTGCTGCGCTGCTGCTGCTGCTGCGCTGCTGCTGCTGCTGCTGCGCTGCTGCTGCTGCGCTGCGGGGCGGGCGGTGGGGTCGCCGGCGGGGGGGCGGGCTGCGCGGCGCGGGGGCGGGGCGGGGGCTCCAAGGGCGCGCCTGCTGCTGCTGCTGCTGCTGCTGCTGCTGCTGCTGCTGCTGCTGCTGCTGGGGGGGGCTGCGGACTGACTAGGCACAATGTGCTGCTGCCAGCAACAGCAGCAGCAGCCGCAGCAGCAGCGGCACTCGCAGCACCTGCAGCAGTTCCGCCGCAAGCTCCTAGCGAGTCGCTCCACTGGCAGTCTGCGTGCTCAGTTTCACGCCGCCCTTTCCCCGCTGCTACTGCTGCTGCTGCTGCAGCAGCTACAGCAGCTCTCCTGCTGCTGCTCTTGCTGCCGCTTAAAAGCTCTTGCCAGCTGCAGCGAGCCTCCCCAAAATGCGCAGCAACTTGGCGGAGGCCCCCGCAATGAAACGGCGCTGCTCCTGCTGCTGCTCCTACTGCTGCTGCTGCTCGGGGCGGGGGGGCTTTTTGCTGCAGCGGCAGAGGCAGAAAGCGTCTGCGATAGTGAGCTGCTGTTGCGTGAAATGGACGCGAATCGTAAGCATTTCGATGCGTTGCTGCTGCTGCTGCTGCTGCTGCCGCGAACACCCCCACTGCAGCAGCAAGAACGGCTGCTCTTGCCGCCCGTGGAGCTGCTGCGGCAGCAGCAACAAAGAAGCAATTGCTTTCGAAATATGAAGAAGCAACAAACTAGATACTGCAGTGCCTGCTCCCCCGTAAACGAGAGCAGCAGCTCCAGCAGCAACAGCAGCAGCAGCAGCAGGGGGGCCTCCCCGCTGAGCGTGGAGCAGCGGCTGTTGCTGCTGCTGCTGCTCCAACGCCCCCAAACAACCGCAGAAAGACAATCGCAAAGTTGCAGCAATATTAAGTCAGACTCAATAAGTAGAAACTCTTTTTCCTGCCGCTGCTGCTGCTGTTGCTGCAGGACATCAGGGCTGCTGCGGTTGCTGCGGCTGCTGCTGCTGCTGCCGCTTCTACTTCGGGGACGTCTCATTTGTTTCTTGCTGCCTCCATCGACAGTCCTTCTGCATGCAGACAGCAGCAGCAGCGGCTAGATGCTGGTGCTGCTGCTGCTGCCGCCTTGACACTTCCAGCAGCCACAGCACCTCCACTGCAGCAGGCAGCGCCCTCCTGCTGGCGCAGCAGCTGCTGCTGCCGCTGCTGCTGCTGCTGCTGCTGCAGCCTGGGGAACAGTGGAGCTAGCTGCCGCGCGAAGTGCACCCAGACACACAAAGACAAGCGAGACAGCTGCTGCTGCAGCAGCAGCAGCGCCCACATGTGATCCCTGCGGCAGCAGCAGCAGCAGCAGAGCAACAGCATCAGCAAAGCCTCGATGTGACCCCTGCAGCAGCAGCAGCAGAACGTGGATGTGACCCCTGCAGCAGCAGCAGCAGAGCCTGGATGTGACCCCTACAGGAGCAGCAGCAGCAGCAGCAGCAGCAATGGCAGGGCGGGCTCGCTTGCCTGTCTTGGGGGTTCGGCCCCGCAGCGCTGCTTTTCTTTCTGCTGCATTTAAAGGCGCAGAGCTGCCTTCTCCCACAAAGAGCAGCACTGCAGCAGTGCTGCAGCAGCAGCTAGATGCTGCTGTTGCTGCTGCTGCTGCTGCTGCCTCCTCAACTGCCACCGGAGCTGCGCCAGCAGCAGAAGGCGGCCGCCTTAGGGCGCTGCAGAGAGACCCACCCCTACTTGAGCAGCAGCAGCAGCAACAACAGGAGCAGCAGCAGCAACAGGAGGAGCAGCAGCCGCAGCAGCAGCAGCCGCAGCAGCCGCAGCAAGAGGAAGCGACCTCCTTCCACACGGAAGAAGACGAGGAGCAGCAGCAGCAGCAGCAGCAGCAGCTGGAGCAGCAGGAGCCGGCAGAGCGGCAGCAGCAGCAGCGGCAAAAGCACCGAGAGGCGAGTGACACAGCAGCAGCAGCAAGGAAGCCGAAGAAGAGCAGCAGCAGCAGCAGCAGCAGCAAGACTGCTGTTGCAGCAAAGAAAGCGCCTGAGAAGAAAGGCAGCAAAAAGAGCAGCAGCAGCAGCAGCGCTGCAGGAGGCCAAACGTTAGACAGCGCACTAGCCCCCAGCAGCAGCAGCAGCAGCAACAGCAGCAGCAGCAGCAGCAGCAAAAGTGGAAGTGAGGCAGCAGCACTGGAGCGTGTGATTCTTCTGAGGTGTAAATACAGCAGCAGCAGCTTCGCATTTACTTTTCTGTCGAATTTATTTTTCAATTTTATTTTTTAAGTTTATAATTTATCATTTATTATTATTATTTTTTATTTATTATTTGTTTATTTATTTATTTACTTATTTATATTTATTTTTATTTATTTGTTTATTTATTTATTTATTTATATTTATTTATTTATTTATTTTTTTGCTGCTGCTGCTGCTCGCCTTTTTGCTGCTGCGGGGCTCCCTGCGAGTATGTTTCTTCCTTTTATTTTTACTTATTTTAATTAATTAATTTGTCTATTATTTTATTTATTTATTTTAATTAATTAATCATTTAATTAATTAATCAAATTTATTATTTATTTATTTATTTATTTATTTATTCTAGGACTTCTCTTCGGGGTGTTTGCTGCCGTTTTCATTTTTTTTGTCATTTTAGTGAAATGAATTTAATTCATTTATTTTTAATCCTAATTTAATTTAATTTAATCCTAATTTATTTTATTTTGGATTTAATTTAATTTAATTTAATTTAATTTAATTCAGTTTCAATTCTGATTTAATTTAATTTAGTTTGATTTCAATTCTAATTTAATTTCAATTTAATTTAATTTGATTTATCTTAATTTCAATATGATCTAATTTTAATTTAATTTGATTTAATTTGATTTATTTTGATCTTAATACAATCTAATTTTAATTTAATTTAATCTAATTTTAGTATAACCTAATTTTAATTAAATTTAATTTGATTTGATTTAAATATAATCTATTTTTAATTTAATTTAATCTAATTCAATTTATTTATTTTTATTTCAGAAAGGATTTCTGTTTTTGCTCCTTCCCGTTTGAGAGAAGAGGCGGAGGCGCAGAAGGACAATGTGGCCCAAGGCGTAACCTGCGGTGAGGGTTTAGGGTTTAGGGTTTAGGGTTTAGGGTTTAGGGTTTGCTGCTGCTGCTGCTGCGCCTCCACTCCCTGCTGCGTTTTTCCCGCGTCTCTCCAGCGCCGCTGGGCATCGCCCACGCGGGGGCTCTTCAGGGTTTAGGGTTTAGGGTTTAGGGCTTAGGGTTTAGGGTTTAGGGTTTAGGGTTTAGGGTTTAGGGTTTGCTGCAGCTCGCCTAGAAACTGCGGGGCTGCGCAGCTCAGTGGGCCGTTTGCTGCTAAACCCTGGGGCTTCTTTTGGCCCGGCTCGGGCGGAGGCGGACAGGCTTGTAAGTCATTTAATTTAATTAATTTAATTTAATTAATTTAATTTAATTCATTTAATTTAATTCATTTAATTAATTTAATTCATTTGTTTGTTTTTTTGCTTCGGGGATTTGTTTGCGCGGA